AGCTATTTCCAAAAACGATAGCCTAACTTCATATTTGGGCCTGGTACACAAACTATGGTCGTATCTTATTAGATGGTCACGAGCTCTTACGTTATCTTTCTTTCAAATGGTACTTCTGTGTTACCGTAGCCTCAATCAACTAAATATATTTAATCCATTTTACATTATTAAATGTTTGCTTGAAATTAATTCTAAAATCTGAAAGTAGAATTGCGAACTTTGCAAGTAGGTAACTGTACATTTTTTATAATTAAGTTATACAATATAATTCAGCCTACGTAATGATTTAATTCGTAATGAATAAGCTTTATATATATATATATATATATATATATATATATATATATATATATATATATATATATATATATACGAAAATACAATGGTAAATTTGTTAAAAAAAAATATTTTAAAATAGTAACACAGTAATAAAACTATCTCTTTTTTTTTACTTATGTTCTCTCTTTTATATAAATAAATTGTTTAATCAAACTTTTTCCGCCGGACAGTGTTTTCATTTTATTTCGTTTTCCCACTGATAGGGTGGGATTATCTTTTTTTTTATTTAGGGGGGGGGGAAGAATTAACAAGGGGGCAATTGGCCTTAAGGAAATGACTGGGTGAGGGTAGTTAATATCATCTCGACTTTTCCCGTTCGTGCCCGACATGGGGCAAATAAAGTTGAGTTCATCTGTTGCAGCTGAGCGAACCCACTGACTTGAACATATATTCGAACTCGAGACTTTTGGGTTAGCAGTCTAGCTCGCTACCGCTATGCCGCGCCGTACGATACTATTAATATACAAATCTTTTAACCATAAAAATTATTCACATTCGTTTAAAATATAACAACGGAAAGGTATTTTAAGACAAAAGTTATAAGTTACAGTTTCATGCTAACTAGTAACTATACTTACTATACACATTAGCGGGTAGCGATAGGCATCACAAAGTGTAAACCTATAGGATTATTACTCTTTGGGATCTGGTGTATAGGCCTTTATCATATGTAAATTTATTACATACTACTTGAGTCTTTCGTTGTATGTTGAAGACAAATATCAAAATATTCTTTCTTTCCCCAAAAAAAAACACACGTCAAAGCACTTATAACAATGTTACAGCAACGTGTCTTTGATTTTTTTTTTTTTTATTTCACGTTAAACAGCGATGGAAGAATATGTAAGCAGGCCAGATACTGTAGTAGAAAACATAAACAACCTACTGGTTGAAAATGAAAAAGATTTATTGGATCTAAGACGCCGAGTTCCAATGCCACCGTGTTGTTGTGGCCGCGTCCTCAGATTTTTTCAGAGCTTGTCTAAGATCAGACATGAAGGAGGCTAAAGGCGGATACATAACTTTATTTGAGATATCAGCATCAACGTTTAAAAAAGTTTTATATTCGCTTTACACTGGAAATATTGTGTAGACAATACAAAACTATTGAAATATGGAAGGTGGCAGATCAACTACAAATTGATTTTATAATAGAGGAGTGTGAGACATTCGCTTTAAAAGTTTTATCGGAAGAAACTTTTTTGGCCATTTGGCATGTAGCAGACCAGTTACATAATCACGAATTTATTAAATACTGCGAGGATTTCGCAGTGATAAACATATCTGTTAAAAACTTTGAAAGTATTACAAAAACCGCAAAATCTTTTAAATCTAATGATTTGTTGACTGTTTGTAAATCATTCATGTTAAATAACTTTGATAGCGTTTGTCAAATGAAAACTATAATGGAGCTCGGTATTGACGAGATACTAAGCTTGATAGAAAGCCGGGACCTTATTGTGAGTTCTGAAGATTTGGTTCTAGAAACAGTACTAAAGTGGGTTGAGTATTTACCTGATGAAACTAACGGTGAAGACCACGGTGAAGAATCTATGAGTAATTTAGGCCCACGTAAATCAACAGAAACACAACTGTTTAAAAAAAGATATGAAAGAATGAAGATGTTACCATTATTATTGAAGTCTGTAAGAAGTTGTCTTGTTAGTGCACCTCTCCTGAAACATGTTTTAAAACATCCTCTAATAGCAAAAAACACTTCAGCTAGAGATCTTATTGTTGAAGCCATACTTTATAAAACGACAAATAATAATTATGGACAATGGTCAACAGCAGCGATACATCGTGCCTGCAGTGATTTAGAACACTGCGGGATTGTATACATCAATAACAACAATTTTAATATAATAACGGCATTTGATACTAAACTTTTCAAATGTGTGAAAAATGATGAGATATGCCATAATGTAAATTTAGCTGTCTTTGAATCGAATTTGTACGCTACTGGGGTTAAAGATCAAGATCAAGCATACAGTAGTTTATGTGTCTTGAGCGATAACTCTTGGAGTAAAGTAACCGAAATACCAGGTCGTCAATTAATTTTAGTTCCATTTGACCAATGCATTTTTATAATAAATACAGCAACAAGAAAAATATCTCAAATATTCCCGAACGATCGAAATTCAAAAGTTTTAGAATTCGCACAGTTGCCGGGGAGAGTAAAAGTGCAACAGGCTATAACTTATCAGAGGATGATTCTCATGTTTTGTTCAGTGGTTGAAGATAGTAAAACAAATACCGCGGTTTATCAGCTAGACATTCCGTCGAAGAAATTCACAGAATTAAAAAAATTGGATGGACCAGCAGAGTATCTAATAAGCTTCAGTGATGATAACAATACTTATGTTTTACAAGCAAATGGAAATTTGTGGAAAATTGTTTACTCATTCGAACGAGTGACTTTTCAATGTGTGGCCAGCTTGTGGAACAGGCAAAGAAAGGTGTACGGTGCTTTGACATACAAAGAGAAGCTGATTATTTTAGGCTCAAAAACTGAAACAACAGGACAAAATAAAATAAAGTGCCTTAAAGGATATTTCAGCGAAATTAAACACTTTGGGATGGACAGTCTATGTTCAAATTTTATCCCTGTTGTCTTGCCTAAATGTCTAATGTTACCAATGTAAAAGATATTAAAAAAAATAACACTATGCGAAATACTAAAAAGTATTATCAAATCACTAATTGTGGTGTATTTAAATGACCATATCAAGTGGCAAATATGTAGAAGTGTTCCAAATTTCAAAACTATGACCGATTTTGAGTTATTAATAGAATATATATATATATATATATATATATATATATATATATATATATATATGTGTATATGTATATATATATATATATATATATATATATATATATATATATATATATATATATATATATATATATATATATATTAGATTAGATCCGTTAAAATTATAAACTGTTTAATTTCAGTATTGTCATTTAAACCTTGAAAACTGTTTAAAGGTTTAGTTTTGTTTCATGTCATATATGTTATAGGCTACATATTTAAAAATTAATTACTTTGTTACTTCTAGATTTTACTACATTTAAAATTGATATTTTTAGCAACATTGCATTATATGACGATACACAAAGGTCATTTGACCGATAAATTTCTTCACTAATTTTTCAAACTAAGTAAAATAGCACATTTCGTGTCCCGACCTGTTACTTCAATGTTTTGAAAATCATCCTTTTTATAAACATGAAAACATTTTAAAACACCTTTTTCATTTTAATTGATTATATCAATTTTAATATATTCAATGGTATATGCGAAAGTAATTATTTAACTGTATAGGTTTTTTTAGTATAATCAGAAATTAATGTTCACTTTGCAAAAAAAATATTACATGTATTCATTATTTGTTTTTGTAGTTTCTCTCTAAACAACTATATGTTTTTAATTTTCCGAACCAACATATACAATTTGTAATTCTATGTTAAATAGTTCAAATTATGATGAGTTCGTCTCTTAAAGTTTATTTAATTGTAATAAAATGTAACAATAATATCCATATTTTGATTTATAAAATATTGCTTTAGTGTTTCATAATTAGTTTATAGGCTTGCAATTCTATTTTTACTTTATCTGACGCTTAAACTTTATTATTACACATGGCCGTCAAAGCCAGGTCCTGCACTAACCTCTGTGAAAAAAATATATGTATAAAAGAATTATGACTTGGTGTTTTTTTAGCAGCATTAGGAAATATATTACTTTTCAAATTAACCCTAGTCACAACCAACCAAAACCAAAAAACAAACAAAAAAACAAACACAAAAGCAAACACAAACACAAACCAAATTGAAACACGAACGCTAACATAATAAAAATCTCAATCAAAAACATAAACGCAAACATAAACATAAAAATAAACATAAACGTAAATGCAAACAAAAAAGCAAACACAAGCACAAACGTTAACACAAACACAAACAAAAATGCAAACACTAACGCAATTACAAAAGCAAACGCAAACACAAATGCAAACATATACACAGACACAACGCAAACACAAAGCAAACGTAAACCTAAACCTAAACGCAAACAATAACGCAGAACATAAACACAAACTTAAACGCAAACATAAATAAATAATAACATTCCTAGAAGACATGCATTTCATTTCTAAGTCCTGATTCCAAATCTGGCTCTGCCTCTCATCCATATCAGACGGATATGACGATACCGCATCATTTGCGTTTATGATAAGAGACTTCTTAATATACTTGTTATCTGCGCTTTCGTACTATAAGCCCTATACAACTTACAGGCATAATTTACATTATAAAATTTTCATAAATAGAATTAAATTTTCATATAACAGTTGATAATACATGTATCAGCGGAGTACACATATTGTAAATGTAGCGATGTTAAAAGCAATTATATTTTAACATCTTAGCAAACTGCACATGTTAAAAGAAAACATAACTAAAAGTTATGATTGTGGAGCTAATTTCAAATCGGTTAACATAAGTATTTACAGCCATCTAATAACCACAAACCATTTTGAAACTAAAAATACAATTCAAAGAATCGAAAAATCGATGATAATATTACAATCTAGCGTGTTGTTTTAGTTTCAGTTTGGTAGACTGTTCTATAAATAGGCTATAGTACGTGTCACCGTGTTGTTTAAGGTACAGCTGATCTTGGAAGAGGAGACTTTTGCAAAGGTTTGTAGTAAATAATTAGTTGAATACTGAGTAGTTTTATTTTTGTAATCACATTATATAATGAACTTCAGTACAACACAGTACAGAGCATATTTATTTATTAAAATAAATATGTGATTAAAGAAGACAACTTTACAATCTAGCATGTTGTTTTAGTTTCAGTTTGGTAGATTAATCTATAAATAGGCTGTAGTACGTGTTACCGTGTTGTTTGAGGTACAGCTAGTACAACCCTGGGCTGATCTTGGAAGAGCAGAGGCGTAGCGACCCTTCCCGGCGCCCGGGGACAAACTTTTCAATTTGCACCCCCCCCCCTCAAACTTTCGATTTGCACACCCCCCCCCCCTCAAGATTTTGATTTACACCCCCCCCCCCCCCTCAAACTTTCGATTTGAACCCCCCTTAACCTTTCAATTTATTTTTCAAACCCATTTTGGCGCCCCCTAAGGTCCCCCCGGCGACATATGCCCCCCCCCCCCCGCCCCCCCCCCCCCTCGCTACGCTACTGTGGAAGAGAAGATTTTTGTAAAGGTTTGTAGTAAATAATTAGTTGAATACTGAGTAGTTTTATTTTTGTAATCACATTATATTCTCAACTTCAGTACAACACTGTACAGAGCATATTTATTTATTAAAATAAATATGTGATTAAAGAAGACAACGCGTGTCACAAATAAATAGTGTAGAATGAAACATGAACATATTTGTAAAATGATTTAAATACCTTCAAGTACGAAGTTAATTAGCTTTAAAAATGTTGCATTCAGTTTAGGATATATGGCTGACTGTCGTGTAAACGTAAATGGGTTAAAAACTGTGTACTCATTTCCCTTTAAGTTCTTTTTGATTATTCATATAGTTTATTGGTTTTTATCTTGATTAATTTTTATTCAAAGCCCTTTTTGTCTTGATTGACAAATACATAAAAGCCTGTCAAATACTATTGTTCGTCTTGTAACAGTGTTTCTTTAAGTTTAAAGTCTAATACTAATGCTTGCTTATAGTATCTACTAGACTACCCGTTATCCGCGGATAACTGTGGGTTTCGTGGGGTTACATTAAGGACTTAACGTTTATTCGACGATTTGTATCTTTCCCCTTGCCTCGCTTTGGCAAACATCGTAACAAAAAGCCAGACACAACATTAAAAAAGACGTCACACTAAGACGACATGTTTTTGTTTCTTAAAAACACTGATTTCGGTTGAGCATAGGTCTGACCACGCTATGCCTTCATATGCTGAGGTCACAGAAACAAGTAAAGACAAAAACATATTGCCTGAGGTGTGACAATGATATCCATAGTTATCCAAGGATAATAGATACTCTAGTATTATCTAAAAGTTTTCTTCGCTATTTAGATATCCGTTTTTCAAGTACTATTTCCTATATACTTAACAGGGTTTCCATAAAAGTATTAAGGGTGTGTAATATTTCTTAGTAAACGAGACTATTGCTATACAACCCCTAGAATGCTTATTTTTTATTTATTTATTTAGGTCTGCTTTAGATATTTGTGTCAAATACTATATGCAGCTGAGTCTACTCCCTTTGTTGTTGCGATTTGATACAATCATTTAGTTTAAAATTTATTGTAACATCTTTTATCATAAATCATGTTTCTGTTGTTTCTGCCTTTAAGATGAGTTCACCACCAATCTGCACAGAGATTGTCAAATGCCTGGAGAGTTTTTGGTCAAAGAAACAGCTGATTGATTTCACAGTTAAGATCGATAAAGAATCAATAGAATGCCATAGATTTATTTTAGCGGCATGCTCTGATTTCTTCCAAGCCCTTTTTAATTCGGGAATGAAAGAAGTCACAGATAATTTTGTTACTTTAAAAGATATTTCTGTTGCAGAGTTTGAGTTGATTTTAAAGGCAATATATACAGGGGTCGATATTTTAACATTAGACAACTTTATTGAAGTTTGGCGAGCAGTTCATCAGCTTCAGATTCATTTTATGATAGATTTGTGTGAGAAATTTGCTATAAAATCAATTTCAATGGACAAGTGGCAAAGCATTTACAAAAATGCTCACCTGTTAAATTCGAAACCAGTTCTTACTGATCTTCATTTGTTTATGTTACAAAACTTTGAGAAAATCTGTCATGACCCAACGTTTATGCTCCTTCAGTTTGATGAGATTCATGACTTAATAAAAAGTCAAGATCTGGTAGCCAATATAGAAGATTCAGTTCTTGAGACAGTGATCAACTGGGTAGATCATGATGAGAATATTGATAGTTGTGATGATGCATTCAATCAAGCTAGTAATATTGAAGACGAAGTAGAAACGAACGACACAAAAGAAAACAATAATGGTAGCGATTTGAAAGATGAAGAAACAGATACAGATTTTATGAATAATGAATGTGTTACAAGAGATACCAATAAACAGGACAATGAGGTAGATAATACATACTTATCGACAAGAAAAGATAAACTTACAGAGCTGCTAACGTCTGTGAGGACATGTCTTGTAAGTCCTTCAGTTTTATCTCGCATGTTTAAACATCGGCTGGTTATAAACAATAACGATGCAAAAAACATTATTTTTACTGCTTCGTTATATCCTGCTCTAGATTTTAGACACGGGCAGTGGCCTTCATCAGCGGTACACAGACTGTGCAGTGAATATAAACACTGTGTCGTGTATACAAGTGACAATAGTAATTATATTTACGTGTTAGATGCTAATGAAGAGAAATCGTACTACATTTCCAATAGTTGTCTTTTGCAGCGAGAACTACAATTCGTTTCTTTTAACAATGAATTGTACGCTGTAGGAATGCAGAATTCAAATTACCCTAATGGGATATGTCGAATGAATGTGTGGTGCGAAGGCGAGTGGGTAGAGGTTCTTTTACTACCTCTAATAATGCCAGTGGGCTAGGTTTTTGCAAATGAAATTACTAAAGAAATTTTTATTTTAAATTCTCAAAATTTTATGTTACAATACAATTAAATGTCGTATTCATTTTAATGATAGTTCGCCATTCTTTTAAAAGAGTGCTTGTGGCACGCACATATTATCCTGTTAAAACTCTACCTTAAATACATACACATAAATAAAGCTTTTCAACTTAGTCGTTTGTTTTGTCTGGAAAGCACCCCTTTTGTTACTACTCATCTCACACTGTATAGTATCGAGTCTTAATTTAATTTACACAATGCCTGACTAAAGGAACATTCGTAAATTCGTAAGCAGTAGCGTACGCAGGGGGGGGGGGAGCAGGGGGCGCGGCCGCTCCCCCTCTGGCCATTTTTATCAAAGTGGCGCCTTTTTGGAAACTTTTTAAACTCAAAGTTTTAAACAATGATATTTGTTAAAAAAATATTTTTGGTCGGCACATCTATGTAAATTACAAGATTTCTTTTCATGCAGCAATTAAGCATTATTGAACTAGTCTATTAGTGTCTACGTTTACGACACGTATTAATAGTTGCATCAGTTTGTCATTCTAAAAATAACCATTACGATGCATTGCAATGTTTAAAAAACCTCTACGGGTAGTACCACTTGGCAAGAGGGGTGTTAAGTTTAAGTCAACTGTATAATGCATTTGCTTACGAATAATTGAATTAGAAAATGTTATACATAAAACATCACACATAATTACTTTATATATACAGTTTGAATCGTGTGATTAATTTAAAATAATACAATACAGAAACAAATACAACTGATGTGGCACCTCTATTTAAATTTACTTATGAGCAAACTGCGAAAATAGTGGGGACATTTTGACAAGGTCAACAACAGTTACAACCCCCCCCCCCCCCTCCCCCATGGACCCCTCTGTAAAAATATTGTCATAATACCACTACTACTTATTTAAATCTATTTCTGTAATATATATTTGTGTAATATATATGTATGTTTAGAACAGTCATCTAAAAACTGACGCTATGTTCACTCTGAGTTGGTTATCTCCCCCCCCCCCCCCACACACACACACCTCACCACCACAATTGTGTAGAGCGACATTAATGTCACATCTAGGTATACACTGGGTTGGATAATTGACCTAAAGTGACCGGACAGTGGTGATTGAAGTTGAACACCCCCCCCCCCCCCCGCCCCCAACCCACCCGAACTGATCTGTTAAGTAGAAAAACATGTAGAAAAACGCGTAATGATGTACCAAATACCATGCCGCCAGAAAATTAGCTTTTTAAACGTAAAACTCTGTGAATATTGTTTTTGCAATTACCAGTAAAAAGATGTGTGATCAATACAGTGATCTAACCCATACCTATCACTATGTTAAAAAATGATCTTTAAAGAACACAAACAAGCAGTAGTTAATTAAAATATATGATCTGAACAAAAAAGGCCGAAGTTTAGTTAAATGTAGGCTGTTATTCCGAATGTTTATTTATTATATCGAAAAGCGTGGTTTTATACCAACTCTGATTTAAAAAACTTTCATTATGCTGTAATACTTTAGCATTTATGATGACGATATATTAAATTCTGATTATAGACAAAAACATTTTGTAAACACGAATAGTGTTAAACAATTTCATTATATTCTAAAGTAATTATTTATTTGTTTTGGCATTTATAATTAAATGTGTAGATATATACATATTTATATTAAGAGAGTGATAATTTCCCATATTTCACTTGTCTTAAATAATTTCCCAGGCATTATTATGTAAGAAATTTTTTTTTACAAGAATTACAAAACAGATTGTGTTACGTTCATTGTTTTTGGTTGTAGTGTATATATATATATATATATATATATATATATATATATATATATATTTGTTTAGATTGATACAATTTTTGTTTTGTCGGCCTACATTGTGTGTTTTTTCTTATTTCTTCAGAGTGCTACTTTCAATTTATTTTACATCATAGCGAAGTAATGACATACAGCTAGTAATTATTTATATATATATATATATATATATATATATATATATATATATTTATTTATATATATATATATATATATATATATCGTATATAGAACGGAATAAAAATTCGGCGCCTTTTTTGCTCTTTTCGCTCCCCCTACAACGAAAACCTGGATACGCCTCTGTTCGTAAGGCCAAATTATAAGCTGCGTTGGAGTTTATTAATACAGCAAAGAGAAGTTGTCCAAGTTTAGACGAACTTTGTCCCTAACGCATGTGTAAAAAAATTCAGTTTCAGTTTCGTCTCCAGTAAACAGTTCGAGGAAAAACACGTCAGCTTTTGGCACAGCATTATGTCAGTGCCTCTCAAAATTGTGATGGTACGTTTAGGCAAGTATTAATTTTCTAGAGCTGTTCATTGTAGATAAATTAATATATATATATATATATATATATATATATATATATATATATATATATATATATATATATATATATATATATATATATATATATATATATATATATATATATATATATATATATATATATATATATATATACATATATATATATTCGTCACATCTAAACAAAATAAAAATAATGTTTATATACCTTTAAATGTGACGATTAGATTGCTTTGAAAGAGTGAACTATTGCAATGAACAATGATCTTTTTGTTACTGTTAACTCTATTCATAGTTTTTCATGTAATGAAATACACATGTATTTGAAATAGACTCTGTTCCGAACAGTGACGTAGGCAAGGGGGGGGGGGGGTTTAAGGGCGGTTTTAACCCCTCCCAAGGACTCCGCCCTTATATATATATATATATATATATATATATATATATATATATATATATATATATATATATATATTATATATATATATATATTTATTTATATATATATATATATATATATATATAAATGTGTGTATATATATGATTTTATATATATGGAAAATTATTTGAACCCCTCCATGACCAATTCCTGGCTACGCCACTGGCACCGAAACTGTAGTTTACCCCATGTCAATTATCTTCCTATCGTCTGCCCTCGACTTTGATCCCAGATCAATTACCTCCCCACCCCAGCCTGTTTAGGGACGATGTGGTCAAATGGTAGATCATTCGACTGCAAACCCGAAAGTCTCGAGTTCGTATCACCTAGAATGTTTTTGAAACCACCCAGTTCTGATGAAAACTCGATTCAAGTTAGTAAAAGTAAAGACAGTTGGGTAAAGTGCTGACCACACTATCTCTTCATATGCCGAAGTCACTGGAGCAATTGAACTCTACTTCACCTTCCTCATGGACCGGCTAAGCTTGTTATGTTTTAGAAAAAAATGTTAAGTCTAGGAGTAGGGGATTTTTTTTATACTATACGTTAAGGATAGTATAATGTACTATATAGTACAATGTACTTATATAGTATAATGTACTATTCTGTATCGAACAAGCTTATTCTACACTTTACAGGTTACTTTGGTTTGGTATTATATAGAAAGACTAGGCAAATCATGGAATCTGATAGTGTTTTCTACTAAGCTGGTTACATATTAAAAAAAAGCATTGTGAGGGTGAAAGTAAATGTGAGTGGGGGAATCAACACCATAGCAATTGACAGAATAACTGAGCTATGGCGTAATATCAGGGAGTAATGACAGAGTACTAATTGATAGTTGGCAATGTGTTAGATCAGTCTATAATGATTAGACTGAACTGAATAAACTTGATACTTGACAGATATTCATAAAATATTGATTATAATTAGATATCACAGCGAGAAATACATGTCTAAATGAAAGTAATGCTCTTATAAAAATATTATAACATAGAAAATTTAGACAATTATGATAATTCTAGTGTAATTATTTTAGCGAGTTTGCTTTTTAAAAACTGTTTATAAAATATGTTTCCTACTAACGTGTGCATTTATTATATTAAACATTATTTACAGGATCATCAATTCGTGGATTTTTGAAGATTTAACTGTTTTAAAAGCAACAAACACTGTCATCATTTAGCATCATAAAACATGGAGTTGCAAGCGACGCGTGATATTCCAGCGTGTTTAGTTAAAAAGATAGAAACTTTGTGGAACGAGAAAGAATTACTTGACTTCAACGTCAATATTGATGGAATTAACATTCCGTGTCATCGTCTAATGCTAGCTGCTTGCTCTGAATTTTTCCGATGTTTGTTTAGATCAAGTATGAAAGAAACCCACGACAATGTTGTGACTGTACAAGGTATGTCAGTTGAGACGTTTAACCTGATACTGAAGTACGTGTACACAGGTGAAAATATTTTAACTGTTGAGAATGTAATTAACGTGTGGAGGGCAGTAGATCAGTTACAAATTGACTTTATGATTGATATATGTGAGAAATTTGCCATCAATGCATTGGATTTAAATAATTTGGAGGACATCTACAAAACATCAAAGCTATTGAACGCTATAACTGTGTTAGATGCTTTAAAAGCATTTATGTTAAAACATTTCAATGACTTTTGCAAGACGAAAACATTTATGGAACTATCATTTGAAGAGATCCACGAGTTGATAATTGATCAAGATCTAAACGCTAATGATGAAGATATTGTACTAGAGTCGGTGTTCAAGTGGGTAGAATATGAAGAGGGAAATAATTGCATATGTGAAACTAAGGAAATGGTAAATGATTCACAAGATGATTGTGAAAATATGGATTTGAATCAGCAAACACGCAAATGTTTACCATACACTGATACCACCGTTGAAATAAAGGTTGAGTCTACAAGTTCGGAAGAAACAAATCTAATCAGGAAAGACAAACTTGTAACTTTATTGCAGAATGTTAGGATGTGCCTGGTTAGACCTGCATTGTTGTCAAAGTTTTTTGGCCATAAACTACTTCAAGGAAATGATGAAGCAAAAGCTCTGATTTTTAAAGCAACACTGCATCGTATCCACAAATTTAATCATGGCCAATGGATATCTGCTGCTATTCATAGAAACAGCAGTAACTATGGACATTATGGTGTATATACACATTATGATGATCATATAAAATTGTTGTGTATTGAATCAGAGAAGTGTCATACTTTGAGCTCAACCTGTCCATTAAAGTTTAAAACCCAGCCTTGTATTTTTGATAATAAGCTCTATTGTTTCGGCTACACATCCAGAGGATACAGCTGTCGTTTAGTAGTTTATCAAGATGGTACTTGGATTGAATTAACAGATATTCCAGGAACTAATTTAATTACCTTTCCACATGATAACTTTATTTATTTTATTGATTGTGAAAGTAATACAATTTATAGAATAAATCCAAATTTAAAAAACCCAAGGTCAGAAATATTTTTTAGTGTAGATAATTCAATGGCTATAAAATATGTAATGGGCTATGAAGAAAAAATTGTTTTATTTTCGTCTTTGACAACCAATGGTACGCATGAAACTGCTGTTCAATGTTTAGATGTCTCGTCAAAGTTGTTGACCCGACTCGACAATCTACATGGGCCAGCACATCATCTTATATCATTTCGTGATGATTATAACACGTATATATTACAAAAAGATGGAAAATTGTGGATATTGTTTTCGTCTCAATCAAACACAATACAATTTAAATGCATTGATCGTCTGTGGTTTATTGAACGTAAAGTACACGGTGCTCTTACTTACAATGGTAAACTTGTTATTTTTTATGAAACTAACGACGACCTCAGAGATCAATGGAGAAGCTACCAAGTGATCGGACTGTTTAAAGTCGTAAAATACAAACACAGCCAGAATTGTTCAAAGTTTATACCAGCCATATTGCCAAAATCATGTTTTTAAAATTTGTATTTTATAAGTTACATAGACATGCGAGATATAGTGCTATTGAGATAATTTAATCATGACTTCTTGTGCCTGAGGTATTCCAACCTTGAGATATTGCGTGAATTATACTTTGTATTAAGATATTTTATTATTGTAATAAAAATACCCGATTTTTTAATAGGGATATGTAGTTTTGAAATATAAATTTAAAAACAGATGCGAAATTATGCTATTTTGTCGCAGTTACATTCTTTGAGATATTTTGTATGCGTTTTTTTATGTCTGGAAAATACTTTTAAAGTGAAGGTCAGGTGGAGATAATAATAGAGCTTACGCGTTACTAGTTTCTGAGTTTGCTTGAGAGTCTAGATCTTAGAGTGAGGCACGGGTCAAGACGCATTGATATGTTGATAATAGGTATTAAATACTGCCAATCAGATGCTATTAATCAAATGATTTTACGTTTAAACCCTGTGATTTTAAGTGATACAAAGTCTGATGCAAATTCTGATGAGGATTATGTAATGGTGTAAAAGAACTAACCAATTAAAGATTTAATACAACAACAATATTTTGATGCCATCGATAGCAGATTTATTTTCAAAGAATCATCAGTAGCAAAGACTACTACGTTAAATAAAAGCAACAAATAAAATCAACACTTGTCATTACCACTAAGGGCAGCGAGAACATGTTTTACAAGTAATCAATTTTTATTAGAGTTTTGTTAAACAGTTAGCTGCTAGAAATTTGTATCAGAACCATTTTGTGTAAGACTACACATGCTCACCATAGACAATGGCTTTCGTCATCCATACATCGTGTTTGTTGTGAGTTGAAACAATACAGGATTGTGTATGCCATTAATAATGATATCAACATAGTAACATTTCATTTTAATTTTAGTACCTCATAAACTGTTGTATCTTAAAATTGTTTTTAGTAGCTACAATGTACAAACACATAACAAGTTGTTACCGAAGAAATGGCGGTACAAGCAGCTTACTACAGGTGTAAAGAGAATTTATATAGTGGTTATATATAGTTATATGGTGATAGAAGCATAATACAAAAGAAAATGCTTGTAGATTCCTGATGACAAAAATTAGAAGCTCGAGAGTAGAAAAAAATGTTTCCCCATGTTCCCATTTCAGAATGTTTGTTTGAACCATTACGTTTCAAACAAGTGCTTTAAACACAATTTCTGATTTTTTAAAATATTGAATTATTTATTATAGTGACAAAAACGTGTAAATATATGAGAAAACGCATTGCTTTATTTTTTTTTAAACTGACTTTGTGCATTTTTAACATCTTTCACTACTGCTTGATGTAGTTTGTGTTTGTATTACTGAGATATACATAGTCACTTCCGTTAATTCATTTTAGTTTTTGATGGTATACGTGTTGCAGTATCTTTAAAAAAATTGTAATCTTTGTTAATCACAAGTTTATTAAATAAACAAATGCATATAAAAACTGTTTATACTTTGATTATATAAGGATTTTGCTTTGTAAATGTATTCTTAAATGAGGATATTCTTATGCCAAAATAAATTTATAACAATAAGTTAAAATTATGAGTTCTTAAGATTCTGAAGAAGTATATATCAAAATGAGCAGTGCTGATTTATTTTAAATTTAATATTTTTATAACTAAATTTACTATTGCAGTAACTATGGTACGATGTGGCGTAGCGGTTGTATATATATATATATATATATATATATATATATATATATATATATATATATATATATATATATATATATATATATATATATACGTATTCAGTTTAAAATGATTGTCGATTTAGTAGCGCATGAAATATTTTCTTCATTACAAAAATTAACATTATGTTTATGAATGTTTAAACCGTATACATATAAATATAAACTGATTGCATTTAAAGAATTTTTTTTCACATAGCTAGTTTACAATAAGATAGTAATTTAATTTTAAAAGATACATTTTGTATTCAAAAATAAATGTATACGGATAATGCTACTTATGATTCGGGCTTATGGGCAAAAGGCCAATATGTTATTTGTGTTAAAAATCAAACATCTTTAATCTAAACTACCTAAATAATTACAAAGCAAGAAGGCTGTTTGCACAATAGATTAGAAAAAAAAAACATTAAACACAATCACAGAAGTTAATTTTCAGTTTATTTTAGAAATAACACGTTTTAGTAATTCTAAGAAAATTATTTAAAAAATCAAATATGTTTTGTTAATTACTGGAACTTTCGAAAAAGATTCTCTTTTCACACTGAAGATCCGTGAGGGTTGAATCTGTAATGTAGAAAGAAATTTAATAAATAGAGTAACATGTTTGCTTATGTTTGACTATAATAAAACTGAGAAAAAAAACTTACATCATTATTATCAGACGAATAGATTTTATCCTCTCTGTTGAAAGTACAAAAAAGTATAAAAAAAAGGTTAGTTTGGAAAATAATTATTAACAATTGTTTATTAATATTGTTTAATAACATTAATATTGTTTTATTAATATTGTTTATAACATTTTTTTTTAGTTCAGCAAAAACATCCTTACCTTCCCACCTTTGCCTTTACCCTGTGAGTAGTAGTAAAAATATGGAAAATTATTAATCATATGTTTTCGATTTTGAATGTCAAGTATATCTAAATAACTTAAATATAAATAACTTAAATATAAATGTATATATATATATATATATATATATATATATATATATATATATATATATATATAATAAAACATTGATCCTACTATTAATATGAGCTATTTACTTGAATTTGTCAGCATTAAAAGTAACAGAAAAACACACTAAACTCCGACTAGAATGAAAAAGTCTAAGAATTGCCGACAATGTTTACCTGTTGTTGGCCATCAGATTGTGAGTTTGACTGTTGATCACGCTGTGAAATAATTAAGTTTGTAAGGATAATACATGAATTTAAATGTAAACAGAGGTTTGCAAACAGAGTTTCTTCCAGGCATCTCTTCGGGGGGGCGAAGCCCCCCCGAAAAATTTTTACCGCCCCCCCCGAACGAAATTAAATTTATATAATTTATATAGAAAATATATACTTTTAACAGTGTCCGCCCCCCCGAAGAAAGTTTACCGCCCCCCCCGAAGAATTCAAGTGCCCCCCCCCGGAGAAAAAAGTCTGGAAGAAACACTGTTTGCAAAGCGCTGACTTATTTATTATTTTGGTTTCTTTTTTTTTATTTTTTTGTTTTCACACAATTTAAAATATTATATTATAAGATTACTATACAGAAACGAAGCGGGAGTGATCCCCCTGAACTTACTATTTTATTATTTCTTTTAAATAGAAAAAAAATAATTGCGCACCAAATGAGAAGTTAAACTGAGTATATAATAATGCGGGCAATACGTGTTTTAAGCAAGTGATCTTTTTTCAGAAATCCGAAAAATCCACTCAGTTTTAAAGCATAAAGTTGAGACTGAACAACAAGTTTGATATAATATTAATATACGAAATCTCGTCAACAGAACTGAAACCGTACTCACACATACAGACATAATTGTTGACAAATTTGCAGAATTAAGTTTTTCTGAATCAGGGAGATGTAAAACATTTATATAACTCAAAACATAAGTAGGAAACTATGGTCTTTAAAAATCAACGTTAAGAGCCAGTTATAGGTACCCTTTATAGACTTTAAACTTTACACCAATTTTTCAATACAGTATTAAAAGAAAAATCTATATGACAGCAAATTCAGGATACAAAAGCGTAATATAATCCGATGTATTATGTTTTAACCTTTTCAAAACCAATCATTCGGCTTTCCGTGAGTTTCGAGACTTCAGTGTCAAGCGATCAGCAACTCCACAACACCACACAAAGATTTATTAATTTATTTACTTACCCCAGCAGCATGGGATTCTCCGTTTCCTCTGCCCTGCACGATAAAATAGAGAGGATAGAGTTATTTCCATTTGTAATAAATATACATGAGTTTTTTATTTATGCGAAGTTTAAATAGAAGGTTTCATAGAAGGTTAAAAAAGATATACTTTAGTAATTAACTTAAAGAAACACATACGGTTGACTTACATTATCAGAATGTTGATTGCCATCTTGTCCATCCTATTTTCAACATACAACAATTAAATATAGTTACATCATTAAGATTTACTTAAAAATAAGTAACGGTTTATATAAATTACGTTTTAATTAAAGACGTACTTTATATGTATAGTGAAAGCATGTGACATAGGAAGTAAAGAAACATAACACATTTAAACACTCTAAACACTTACCGCTCCCTCGCCTCTCTGAAAACAAAAATAAATCGTTTATAAGTGGTTTACTAAACAAAGACAAATTCATTATAACAGAAGTAACATGCTTAGTTAGTCGTTTTACTTTGTTAGCATAATTAATTAAACATAAGTCTTAGGCTTTAGAATAAAATAATGCTAGCACAGTAATTTAATTTTGTAATGCGTACTCGTTTTAGAAATACGAAAAGTCATTGCATATATAATTGTTTCTTACACTAATACACTACACACTTAACTGAGTTTTCAAATGCAGTGAATACATAATTATTTATTAGGTCCTTAAATATGAACTTTTAAATAAAATAACTCACAGGTGAGCCTTGTGCTACACAGAAAAGTGCCAGCATTGCAAGCGCGATAACAAAGGTCATTTTAGGGGCCATTGTAGACACTTTTGATTGGTAGTTGTTTAAGACTATTACAATTAGTAACCTGTTAACTTATCATTAATTAAAAATATCTATAATAATAGCCTACGAAACATCTTACCTACCTTCAGTGATGTAGATGTCTCAAGATTTGGTTGATGAATGTAGATATCCAGTTAAGCCATTCGTTTTATATTGACTGATAACTAAAGCCGTCTTAAAATCGTGACACAGTCTTCTATTCATAAAAATAATTCTTTACGCTTTACAAGTTGTTCGCGTTGTTGTAAAAAGCAAAGATTAATACCGTCATTCAATGAGTGTATTCTCTAACAAACCTTGCTAACATTTAAACAATCGCATTTATTGTACACACGAATCTTGAAGTGGTGAAATTACATTTGTGGGCTGAATTATCGTGACAATTACATAATCTCCTTGGTTTGTTTGCAATACAATTATATATAGAATGAATGCTATTGTACTAACAACGAAGCGTTTTGTTAGCTGCACGGGAAATGTTAAGGTTGACTGAATGAGATACATCTGAATAGCCAAACTCCTATCTCTGCAGTCCCAGATTTTCCCTTAGTATCGAGTTGAATTCACGGGACATTACCGCTCTCCCCCGTCAATTCCCACCCCGACATTGCCCCCGGAGCCATTAGCCTTTTGTCAATTACCTCCTGTCAATTACCGCGTTGGGAAGTATTACCCCACCTCCCTCACTCAAACTCAATAATGCTGACTCTAGCTCAAACTCATACCTGCCAATTGCCTTAATACAAAAACTTAACAAAAAAGCCTAACCCTATCCCTTCGCGAGAGCCTAAAACTTAACCCAAACCCAACACC